ATTTGCGTCCTTTTCGTTGCCCTAATTTCACCCAAGATCATAACACTACCACTTTAATAGCGTTTGCCTTCGACGCATGTTGATGGGGATGCGTAAAGAGCACAATTTCCCTCAACACTGAAGAGGACCCAATGTAACAAATGTTTTATTTGGATTAACATTTTCTTAGTAAAGTACACAATACACAGTGCAATTTAGCAAATGGTCGGATGTAACACATGTAATATTTGAGATAACACTTTCTAAGTAAAAGTATTCTAATACTTTTGTGGGTTAGGTCCCATCCAGGATTCAAACCCACACTCCCACAGTGTACTGGCGATTAGGTGCCTCATTCTGGGAGCGTGGGTTCGAATCCCGGATTGAACATTTGACCACTTACTAAATGGCATTGTGTGTTAACTGAAGAGGACCATTCCCAACTGACATGCTGCCAACCGCAAGCGTTGTCTGCATCACTGTAGACGTCGACCTTAAAGTTTCCGCCGTCAGGATGAGCTTTCTGGTTGGGCGCCACGCCCGGGTGCCGCACACGTCTTTGGACAGTCCTCGCAGATACGCCTATGTCGCCAGGAATTGTACGGGCTGTGAGAGTTGATACCTTGAACCTGTGTAGAAGATGCGTAGTTCGAATCCATACATCTTGACGAGGGCTTGTCACGGGTGGGCGAACACTATGAAGTGTTTCTCTGATGTGTTTCTAGTGTTCATAACATCGCCATAAGTGCCGCATAGTGGATGCTGATTTGACCATTTATCATTCTGAATTAGGCATGGGATGTGAAACCTCATCAAAATGTTCAAAAATGTTTTTTTCTGAACTTCCTGAAATTGCTTAGCAATTGGATATATTGGCCTTTAAAAATAGCTTTTGAAGCTTTTTGAATATTCGTCATTTCTTGCAAAGGAAATGCAATACCAACGTAATTTGTTTCTTGCGTTTCTTTTCGAGCTTTTACATAAACGTTTTGTTCCTGGCTCAAATACAAACAAATCATATAACGGTTTATAAGTGAACTAAATCCACGTCTAAATGACGTGTTTGAGCTCAATCATTTATTCACATTATTTGTTTCCTTTAATGCAGGTCACATGCAAGTTTTCCTGGCAAAACAGGGGTTTGACTATTTCTTTGTAATGATTTGGCCCCTCCCCCCGCCCGACAATCAAATAGATGCTCCCTTACTGGCCTAGTTGATAGAGCGTCTGCCCGGAGAGCGGAAGGTCGTGGGTTCGATGCTTGGCCGAGTCATGCCAAAAGACGTTAAAGATGGTACTTGCAGTTACCCTGCGTTCGGCATTAAAACAAGGACTGGTCGACTTGGTGTCACACAACAAATTAGTACTTACTTAACCCAATCGGAGGAAAGGCATCTTTGCAATGGCATAAAGAAGTAAAATTACTCTGTCAACATCTGTCGTCAAACCATTAAGTGACTGAGGATTGTTTAAGCGCTTCTGTCCATACGAGATGACAAGTACTAGGAGGCGGAGATTGACCCAAGACTGTTTGACAAGTGAAATGATTTCAACTGTCAAAAAGTCAACTTTCTTCGAAGATTTTAAAGGGAGTTGTCATACGACTTTTGCTCGAAAGGCCCCAGCAAAGCTTTCAGATATGTAATGGAAATCATTCCAAATTCGGCGCATAAGTGACAAATGTTTGTCCGATACAGTTCCCTATTTTGACTTGTACGATATGTTCCCATGTTTTCTTAGGGGAACACTATTGTCGCAGCTCCAGCTTCTGGTGTTCTCTGTAAAGCTTTCAAATAGTTTGTGTTTGTGACGTGTGGGGCAGGATACGCTCACTTTTTCGCGAATACCAGGTATCTTCACAATTTGATAGTAATTCATAAACACTTGCTCATGCTATGGTAGAATCTTGTCAGCTTATATTAACGATTTCTTCTGAAAATGGTAAGGACTTTGTCGCTTTTATTTAAATATGGTTACAACATAGCTTTAAAAATATTTTATGGTGAACATGTGGAGGACATGTACAAATGTAAAGTTTCAGGGACAAAAATGATGTCCTTGCAATTCTATATTTTGACATGTACCGTATATTCCCGTTGTTTTTCAGGTGACACTTGACTTGCCTTTGTTTATGTTTTTGACAGGTGTCCCTTGGGGAGGGATACTTCACCTTTTCGCAAACACATGTCATGGTCACTATTATATAGTTATCCATAAATATAAAACATTAACGCAAGATTACATTGTACTTAAGAGGCAATGAATAACGGTGGAAACTGTATACATATATCACTGAAAATCAGTATTGAAACAAGGTGATCGCGAAAACGCATGCTCATGACAAAGTCGGAATCGTTTAATTGTCACTACGTTTGGTATAGATTTCTTATGATTATAGCATTTGTTTTGGTCGCCTTTGTTTAATCGCCTTGATCATCACGTACACACAGCAAACGCCCTAATTTATATGTACTCGTAAATTCACAATAGAAGTCTGGTTAAGAAGCTATAAACAATTCATTCCATCCGATCAAAAGTGGTGAAAATACCCACAGTTGGAAGGCTGTGTACATGTGTTGCAGTACTTACCAGCCATGACAGATTAACCACGGGCATATGAAAAAAAGATTGAGTGTGCTTTAACCTCTTTTGAGTTTGATATTACAACCAGGACAAATGCTACCCGTGAAGATCCGGGTTAGAATAGGTCTTCAGCAACCCATGCTTGCCGTAAAAGGCGACTAACTATGATCGGGTGAACAGGCTCGCTCACTTGGTTCATGCATGTCATCGTATCCCAGTTGAGTGGATCGATGCTAATGATATCGATTACTAAAATGTCTGGTCCAGATTGGTTACAGACCGCCGTCAAAAAGCTGGAATATTGCCGAGTGCGTCGTTTATTTACAAACAAACAAACAGAGCTGGACAAATTCATAAACATGATTCAAACTCATTTGCCTTCGCACTGTCGTAAAAGTAAACTATTACATATTTATTTGACAAGAATACTTCGCACCTACATGCCACGAACTCTTTCTTATTGTCTATTCCCCGGAGATATTCTGCGGCATAATATGTCCCCAATTCCACTAGCTGTCACATAATCCGATTGACATGAGAATCGAGTGTTTAGGAGAGGTTCAAAAGGGTGATCCAGTCGTCTAAGGCGACTAAGTTGCATCCCTTTGACACGTTAGAAGCCTGTGTTTGCGGGTTCGAATCCAGGTATCCCCGATTATGTTTCTAGGTTTTTCAGCACCGTACCCATGCTCGTGGGTTTCACCGAAGTGGTAAACGTCTGAGACCTGTAACACTTCGGGCTTTCCTCCCGAGCTGACACGCCGCGATATAACTGGAACACTGACTGTTAAAAGCGGCGTTAAACCCAACTCACTCACTCACAATCACTCATATTGCTTCTTTAGTATATAACGTCAACAGTAGACAAAAATTAGTCGCGTTATCTGCCGATCTGCAGAAACAGGTTCAATGGGGCTTATAATGCAAAATAGCGGTGAAAAATAGATGAATGTAAAAAATCATTGAAGACGCAAGGTGTTCGCGAAGACGCATGCTTATGATATTGTCAGAATCGTACAATGGACTACTCTAGATAGAGATCTCTTTTGATTACGGAATGGTTTTTGTCATTATATTTAATCATCCTGATATGCAGAAATTTCCAGTAGAATGCTGGTAAATAAGATTGACACAGTTTATTATAAAAGTTGCCAATGAGCACAGGATGATATTAACTCCATCTGATATATTACAAACAACATAAAGTTCATGAAAAGGGCTATATGTCTTCGCACTGTGGTTAAAATGTTAATTTACATCATAATTTTATACTTGACACGTGTCTTTAATTGACAACGTTCAGATATCTTTCAGATTCAACCTTATCATATTCTCTGTGGGTATCGTATTCAGTACTATTATTAAGTGATGGCCTTCAGTTTTAACAAAATACATTTTTAGTCATGGTAAAAAATAACCTAATAAAATATATCTCGTCTCCAACAGAATGATTTAATCATATAAACCCAAATCCATGGTAAGACTGATTTGATCATATGAACCCAAATCCATGTGAAAACAAATTGCGATCCATGTTTGTTTGCTTTGATGTTCATTCGACACATTTGGGTAACGGGGAACATATTGTGTTATGTTACGGTTAGCTGGTAACAATGGCTTCTGAATATGAAATGTTTGTTTCTTTGTTTCTTGTGTCACGCCGAAGGTCAACAATATTCCAGCTATATGACGGTGGTCTGTAAAGAGTCGAGTCTGGACCAGACAATCAGGTGATTGACATCATGAACATCAATCAACGCAATTAGATGACAGCTACCCATGTATGTTCATCCGTGTTGTCAAGAATCAACCAGATTTTATAACCCTATTTAGGAATTCAAATTTCCGTGCATCTGGTCAGTGTTATTGAATTATAACATTGACATTTGTCTAATCGTCACCAAACCTTTGATAAGCCACCCTGCAGAAGAAATACATAAAGTTGAATAATAAATGTGTGAAAACGTTTTGAGAAAATGTAACGACACATCTTCTTCTGAGTTTTGCCTCTCGGGGTGTTGACCTTTGGTCTTTTATGACACTGGCCGCAATAATTCGAATTGATAAATTGGTAAGACATAAAAAACATAACTGGCCAAATTCAAGCGTCTAAGGCGCCGCGATTCGCTGTGCAGAGTTGCGTCCCTTGGGCACGCCAGAAACCTATGATCAGGGGTTCGAATCCCGGTTCGCCCCGATTATGTTTCTAGGTTTGTCAGCACCATACCCGTGCTCGTGGGTTTCACCGAAGTGGTAAACGTCTGAGACCTGCATCACTTCGGGCTTTCCTCCCACATTAAGCTGACACGCCGCGATATAACTGGAATACTGTTCAAAGCGGCGTTAAACCCAACTCACTCACTCACTCATATTTGTGTCATATCAACACGGGTCAACACGAGTCTACATGCAATACTGTTCACATTCTGAACTCGGATCATCATAGTTTATTCCACTACATAGTGTACACGCATACGTTATACCTATGGCAGCACCGAAAAAGTTGCTATTATATGATTTTAATCCATATAGGGGCATATACCGCCGCATAAAGTTCGTATAACATGCTGGCTCATGCACAGGAGACTACCGATAAGTGATGCTTTAGCATGAGATAGTCACGCGCACATATATAGTTCCAATGTGGATGTATCCAACAAAGAACGAGGGGATCTCTTGTGTTGCCTGTTTTAATCTTTAGCAAAAGAAAATATTTGCTGACTGCTGATTTCAAAGGTCTTTTTGGCAGATGTAGTACTTTGTTTCTCCCTTCTCCCTGTCTTTCCAAGTAAATGCATTGCTACCTTTGTTGGCTACGATGTAATCATGCTCAGCCTTTTCATTAGCCGGGCGGCCTGGAATCCAGGCAAAATAGGTCATGGGTCGGCCATCATGGAAAACCCACTCTCCTTCATTTGCCGCATCTGAACCATCGAAATAGTAGCTACTGGTCATAGTTGCTGAAAGTTTAATAAAGGAACCATCATTTTGTTATCCATTGAAAAGTGAGAAGCAATTATTATTGATAAATAAATTGAAGTGGAGCAAAAGGGAAGATTATATGATTGATAGTGTCGGCACTGATCCAGTTTGCAGGATTTCAATGCAAATTTATTAACTATTATATGTTAAGGGAAGATTGTTGGGCTATGAGTTTGGGTTGTTGAAATGCGGCTTCGATTCCCAATAAGGGTATATTGTGAGATATCCATTCTTGTTGTCTCACACAGTGATATTGCTCGAATGTGGCATATGATCATACACATAGATACGGTCTGTTATAGGATGGTTTCCAGATAGATGCCCGATTCGAAACACACCACACCCTGCCACAGTGTACATGAATAATGAAAACTGCAACACGATTCGCTTCCTATACCACTTGCCTTCAAATATTGAGTGAGTGAGTGAGTGAGTTTGGTTTAGCGCCGCTTTTATCAATTTTCAAGTTATATCACGGCGTGCAAGCTTAATGTGGGAGAAAGCCTGAAGTGATGCAGGTCTCAGACGTTTACCACTTCTGTGAAACCCACGAGTACGGATGTGGTGCTGACAAACCTTAAAACAAAATTGGGGCGAACCGGGATTCGAACCCACATAATAGGTTTCTGGCGTGCCAAAGGGACGCACAGTGAATCGCGGCGCCTTAGACGACATGGCCACCCGTGCCCCCTCCTTCAAATACGTGTACTTATATTGCCGATGTTTCTGTATACATGTGAGGTTAGAATCATCGAGAGGGTACTGATTTTTTTCCTCCATCGCGCAATTGCGGAGAAAATCTTTACTTGTCCGGTTTCCAACTCGATGACTTAATACATTTTTGCACTAATCTATATATCTAAATACATGTACTCGTATGTGAAGGCAAGTGCTTTAGGAACTAGAGAATCATGTTGCATTTAACGATAGCGCACGACTCAGACGCTTTTTTAACGCTTTTAAAGTCCGTTGCAGATTTGGATCGGGAATCTTGTAGGAAAACATGTTCGACAGTCAGTAACAAAGTCAAAATCGTTGATAGGAAGCAACGGTTACCGCAGCTATCAAATACCCCGAGACATAACCATATCTTGTAATGGAACTGGTTTGTTCTGAAAGGGCTAACACTGATTCGCTATATTTGGCAGAGATTTCTTGTGATTATGGAAATGGTCTTGTCACTTTTCTTTGTACATTTGTTTGTGTAAATTGTAATGAATGTTTTGCTTTGGGCAGATATAGGTGAATGTGTAGGCATCTTTACAAACCTGATGACGACATGATCTGCTTGACCACGTGGTTCTGCTTGTCCGCACTGTCAATAGCAACAAAGTGTTCTCCTCTGGACGTACAGTCAGCAAGACCAACGTCGTACGGGAGCTTGTCGGGATGAAGCTGATAGCAGAAATTGAGGAGGCGGTTGTGGACGTAGCCAGATGGACAAGCACCTGAGGTAGACAAGAACAGTTATCATCTATAGTTTAGAAAATGAGTGAGTGAGTGAGTTAGGTTTGTCGTCACTTTGAACAGTATTCCGGTATATGACGGCGTGTCAGCTTGTTGAGGGACGACAGACCAAAGTGATGCGGGTCTAAGACGTTTACCAATTCGGTAAAACCTCAAGCAAGAATAGGGTACATAAATCCTGGAAACATAATCCTGTAAGATTAAGAAACAAACCTACACACTGTTTCTGACAAATCGAAGAACAATGGAATGAACTATACTCTGCATGCAAAAAAGAAACGCAAAATTGATGTTAGATGTGTATTTTGTATATAATATAAATAATCAACAGATGATAATCGATCGTTCAATATTGGCACACATAATTCTCATTGATCCAGGTTCCATATGGCCCACAGGTCATCTGTTCTCAATATCTTGTATGGTCACGTCGTCACATGGAGGCGATGAGATCCCAAGTTGTGGCCTGGGGAATGTTTACCCACTTTTCCTGCAATGCTTGTGACAGTCGTTGCTGAAATAATTAACTCAGAGAAAAGAAAACACCAAATGAGAACCACTGGTTGCTTTATATGGCAGACCACATCGTCCGAACACACATTGAAGGCAGGGACACAGGCTTGATACCACTAATTGCACGTTTAAACAATACACTGATGACTAGGGAATTGACGAAAACCACAGGTGATATGGTTATCCTGTGGGATCTTGACGACATAAAGCTGTAACATAAATACTTCTTGCATAATATGTAATTAGGATCCTTGAAAAATGTTATTATTACACAAGTATGCATAAGAAACTGACTGACTGACTGCCATTCCGTAATCAGTACGATGTTCAAGTATATGTTTTTAAAGCGACAAAACCCTTTTCATATCCACTAGAAATCTCTACATAAATCAGAGTCAATAGTACGTATCCGACTTTATCATGAGCATGTGTTTATGAATCTCTATCAAATAGTTCTAATGCCAGATGTTCGCGAAAAGGTGAGCGTTTCCTGCCACACCAGTGGCACCCGTCACAAACACATGAAAAGGCAAGTCGCTTGTTACAAGTCAAAATAGGGATTTGCATCGGACAAATTTGGAAATGTCCTCCACATGTCTACCATAAATCTTTTTGAAAGCTTTACTGAGGCCTTGAACGTTGTAACCTTGATCAAACAACGTCTGAGCAAGAGCCGTAAGACGCTCTTTGAAATCTTGATAGAGAGAGCATGCTCGATTGTATCTCAAAAGTTTCGAAATATAAACACCAACGGCTGGAGCTGCTGGAATATTGCTCGACATGCAAGCAAAGATCTGTTCACTGAATTGTTTTCGCACACGGATGCATCAACAATAAATCATTTATCAACTTTATCTGTACGTGAAACCGAGAGACCACAGAGTGTTTATGGCGGACAGGGTTACCGCAGGTGTCAATGTAGTAGCAACTGCTTGACAAACAGGTACTCCTGTTTTAAATCGGGGTTGAGATGCAATAGTGCATGACATAGCCACAACTCCTGTGCAAACTGTGGCTGAACTGAGCGGTGATGTGATTCAGAGATTCTTAATATGCAGATAACGCTGCTTAGAAAATAGAAAATTAAGTTTCTTAAGATCACATATTTATTCACTTAAAAATAGAGTTTACTTTATTAAACACAAAGCATACGAAACAATACCAATTTCAATTGCGTTCTTTGGGAAGGACAATCACCTGCTAATTGCGTGAAATGAGCAAGCTGTTTGCCCATATTGTGAAATATTTGGAGAATTATTTTTTATTCACAACTATTGCCCATTCCTTGCACTGATCCGTGAGAAGATAATTATTAGCACATTGCGTGCATTGCCGAATGCACGCAATGGGCAGTTGCACAGATTGGGTGTTAGATATATACACTTAAAAATAACCAGGTGTTAACTATGATGACGCTAGAGAGACAAATAAACGCAGATCGGTTAAATATTATTTCCTTGTTTTCAGTTAATATTTAATTATAAGATGACATTTTTAAAACAGTTTTTCATAATATGAAAGAAACAGACTAGCAATCAACACTATAACCGCGATGCAATTGCGTTACTCAATACAAACATATAAGGCGCCGTTTTTAACTATTTATTCCTTATTTTATGATATCAGTAATTCATTTATTGATTCCAAAGAATGAATTTATATCAGATATTTCATTTTATGATATCATGAAATATTTATTGTTATCGCAAAATATCGATTTTTCCATATCAGTGAAAGAATCTTTTATATCAAATAATGTATCACGATAAAAATTGTGATTTTTGAAAAATCAAAAGTAGATTATGATATCACAAATAGTGAGGATAACATTCGCTCAATTGTTTTGTCAATGGGTTCCAGCGTATTGGTAGATATATATTCATTTGCCCATCTCTTACTCTACTGGGTGAATGATTAGTTTTTCGGGGTATCCTTCTCAATTAAATGAAGCAATAATGGCCACATGGATTGTTCCTGATGGTATTTATATCTTTAGCCTTCATCTCCTTCGGCCTATTTTTGAATAATTCATGGGTATAGTTGTCGTAACATTAACGTATATTTGTCATATTTAGATGATGTATACAATTACAAACTTCTCCTCTTATTTAATCAGTTTTGTATTTTAAAACGATTTGAAAATTACTAATTACAATCTTATTTTACCACATGCTTTACATGAGACGTGTTATGTGTACATGTCGCCATTAATTATAATTATCGCTTGTAAGCTCAACACAACTGACAAATACCCTACAATACATGATAGTAAAATAGTAATGTACGTTGAAAAGAATATATATACCACAATGATGTATCAAGGATAGAGGAGATGCTATATTGACAGTAGCGCTTGAGTTTATTCAACGGAACTGTGAAAACAGCACTATTTTATCCCTTTTAACTGACACAGTCAAAGTTCTATTTTTACTTCTGGCAGCCATTATGCAACCGCCATCTTGTACACAACCCCGCGCTCACGTCTACACGTCTCTTACTGCGGTATGGCAATTAGTAGAACCTCTCTCTCAAATGTCAACAGTTACCTGCCCTTGGATGGTCTCTCGAATTCACCAGAAAAATAAAAAGCAATCTCCGTTTACCGGTAATATTATCTGATATTATAAATATATGTGCTGACAAAATGCTCTGTAACATTTGAACATGATATATATGAAATTTTATTTGTAGGATCATTTGTAGAAGCTGTTATGTCGCAGCCCATGGTCGCAGAGTGTAATGAGCTCGCCGTCAGCGGCGTAAAGAACATGAATATGTAACAACACAGACAGATCAGATGTGTTGAGTGAAAGTGAACTTTTTAAATATTTTTGTTATTCAGTCAAGAGGGTATATAACATTATGTTCATAGTCACCGTATCATAAGAGGCATCAAACTACATGGTAAATATCAATAGAAAAGTGTACAGTATGTGATTGACAGTAAGTTCATCTTTAATACATTGTAGTAAGTATAAGATATATCGATTAAGTAAGCTAATCCGCCTGCGTTATGGTTTTCCCCATTAAACTCCATTTTTTAGTGAAAGAAATTATTGTTCCGTTTGTTTTTGCAAGGAACAAATCGACATGGTAAATGTCTTTAAGCATATTTCTATATGATTTAAAACATGGTTTTATTCCGTTAATATGTAGTACGTAAATGTGTCGTTTTCCTAATGTCAGTAAGTGATTTAATAAGAAGTTGTTTGTACCTCCAACATAGATATCTTGTTTTGTAATAATGTACTGAAAGTACAACCACATGCTATTGAAGTACTTTTAAATGATTTAAACTTATGCCAACTTTGTTGAAATAGTTGAAATACAATAATAAGGTGTCCAAACTTTCAAAATCTCTCTCAGACAACCAGTCTTAACCACACACGGAAATGAGAGCTAAAAGGGCCACAATCTAGCAAAGTGTCTTTGGCCCTTTCGGAACTTGACTTTGGCCCTTAATAGATTTATAAGTAGCCTCTCGTATATGTAAAAAACGCATCATTGAAAACATACAATAATTTTTCTTATTTCTTCATCTAGTATCTTCATCAAAGTTTGAGTGGTAATTTCTTTTAAACAATCAAAACCTTCAACGTCAATATCGTCTATCGACTTGCATAATTTTTCCTAAAGGTTTTTCTGTTCGTTTATTATTAAAGAACCATCTGTTATTTCCTCACCTTTTATCAGTAATAATAGTCTTGGTGAGTTTATTCGTATAGCTCCTGTTTTCTAACTAGCAAAAGTAATTAGTTGGTTTCTCTCCTTCATTATACCTCTGTATTCTAATATGGATTTGAATTCCTCTCATTTCTTCTTTTTTAATTGTTTCGAGCTCTGATTTTCGTTCTGATAGTTTGGATAACAATGTTTCGCTAACGTTTTGAAAGTCGTTTCTTACTCGTGTTTCTTATTACAATATATCATTTTCTATTATTTCTTTGTATTTTTTCTCATTTATGTTATTCACGTGTGTAAAATATGAGGTAGTTTTTCCTCTTACTTTCATCCAAAATGTCTCCTTGTTGACGAGGGTTGTTTTACCCTCAAGTAAATGTATTGATGTTCGTCTTTAGTTCTCTCCATGCATCTATTAGGCTTAATGATTCAATTTTATCTAAGACTAATTTTCTTGCATTATGATAGTTTTGTAAGTCTATTGAATGATCAAGAACAAAGTTCCAATCTCTACATATTACTAAAGAGTCAGGCACTCGTGAAGAGCAACCTCCTCGTGGTGAGTGCTGGGTGGCGCTAATAGCTCTTCCCCCGTGTGGACTCGGGGTAGAATTTGTCCACAGCACCCCATTGCTGGTCGTACAAGGCGACGAAATTGGGCAACCTGTTTGCCGTGGGTTGCGCCCCTGTGTCGGTGGAGGAAGGGATTCTGGTGGTTGAGGGCACTGGTTCCAGGAACAGTGTTCCTTTGCCCAACACACCACTTTGACCCTAACTTCACCTAGAC